GCTATCCCTTCATCCCCTTACTCCATTTCAAGAAGTACTGTAAGACAAAGCGAGAGTGGAATCTCTGTGGCGGCTTGAGTCGTCAGGTCTCCTCAAGTTCACCCACCGGCACTTACATGGAGCGCAGGCTCGGCAGAGGCTGTCTGAAACGTGAAGGCCTGACAACGGATCCCACCAAGTTTGTCAGCGTGCTGTAATGCAATGCCTCCCCGCATAATGCCGTCGATGCCCTTATCGCTCTTCATCTGTTACGTCTGTGACCCAACCGCAGGCCCTTGTTCTGAGCAGCTTGGGGCTAGTCGGACCCTTGCGTTGGTGTTCGGCATTGATGATCGGATCCGTTGTATCGCTTTGAGGCTCAGGCAGATTCGGGGGATGCTCTCGCGACCGTGTGCTCAAATCCATTCACCAAGCACAAATCGCCAGGCATCGTGACAGGTTCACCACGTCTCGCGTTTTCAGATCGAAGTGAACACGATTGCAAGATTCCATGTGATTGAGTGCTCTACAAAGTGTACCTGAATTGAGGGCTTCGGTCGCCGATGGGAGCTCTTGTCTTTCCCTCATCGACGAGTTTCTGGTATGCTGCCCAGTTTCCTTCGCGTCTGCCCTGGTCCCTTGCCCAGTTCTCGCTCCAGCACCACCACACGTTGATCGCCATGAAGATCCACGCGCCCACCAAGCTTGCCAGCACGACCGAGTGGCCCTGCACATAGCGTGGGGCCCACTTGGCTTGGTAGATGAACGTCGCGACGAATCCGGCGAGGTTGGCGATCATGAGCTGCAGAGCGTTGACCGTGCCGCGCTTGTAGAGGCCCGAGGTATTGTTGATCGGGATGGACAGAATGCAAGGTGCGGTGGGATAGATTCCCAGGGCAATGAGGAAGGTCGCGCCGTAGCTGACCTTTGCGTTGTCTGTGGCGAGCAGCATGATGTAGCCGATCATGGAGATTGGCAGGAGTGCGAGGATGAATGGTCCACGCATGCGGCTCTTGTCGGCGAGATACGCGATGATGATCACGAGCACCGTTGCGGGGACGTAGGGCGGCACGGTAAGCAGCTGGAGCCGGGTCGTGGTGATGGTTGGGTAGATACCACGCAGGATGGTGGGTAGGAAGAGGCTGAACGAGTACAGGCAGTTGCAGATAAGCAGGTACGCAATGCCGGTAAACCAGGCCTGCGGCTCCGTTAGGCCACGGCGAATCTCGCGCCACTCGAACTGCTCTTCCTCGAACACCATTGCTTGTCGGACCGCAGTATCACCCACAGCAACGATTGCGTTGGGCGCAGTGACAGGAGGTAGGTGCTTTTCCGTATCGCCGGTGGTCTTGACG